TTGGCTGACGGTAGGTCTGTTGTACCAGAGACGTGGTCCATGTAGCAAAGGGGTGACCATGACACCCAGAAACTTGCGCCTCGAATTAGTCACCCAGACGCAGGTGAGGGCGAATATCGCTTCGAGTAGGACAGATGTGGTGACAGGAGTCGAGTAAAATAGGTGAACAAGGGGGAGAGTAGACGGATTTTACCGAGCAAGAGAGACTGGGATAATACTAGGAAAGAGGACTGCATAATCATAAAGCAGACTCTGATCAACATTCCCTGCACAAGGATGAATGGGGGTGAGAGCGACAGTTGTAGTGTGAAGGTCTCATGTCGCTCAAAGGATCACACCACACTATATCTAAATAAACACGGTAAACATTGAAATAGTGAAGACATGATAGGATACTACCGGAAACGCGAATAACCCAGGACAGAAGGGGTGATACCACAATTGTTTAGCACATGTTTGGTCAAAGGATCGGATTCACTTGTCTCTTTGACGAGTTGTTGCGTGGTGCTAAGAAGGGAGATACTCACTGACGATGCCGACTAAGATGCCGGTGAAACGTTTGAGAATGTACCAGGTCTACGGTTCAACTTTGGAAATGATCATGCAGACAATGGACTCCAGACTAGGTTCGTTCCAATAAGTCTTCTTACCAATATGACCATGTTGCGAAATAAGGTCAAACAACCTCTATACAACGAGAGGAGATCTGACCACACAAAAGGCCACACCATCTTGGTCTTCATACCTTCGATTGTAATACTTTTAATTTTAGTAAAAGAAATTACAATGAGTCCAGAGAGGAACAATCGGAAACCAACAGAAGACGTCTACATTGAGCCTATTCAAATCAAGTAGAACCATCACATTTGAAGGTTTGCACGCAGTAGAATCTATAGAAAAGCGAGAGAAACGGTTCTGACCATTTATAGTTGCTATTCGTAGACGAGTTTGCCCATAGACGTGGTCCATGAAGTAAGGGATTGATGACGAGAGTTACTTGGTGCACAATCCGCACAGCGATAAGAGGCATGCTAAATGAGAATCCAGACTTTAGGAGCTTGCTCAGTGAGGATGGTGTATACGTGCTATCAAAAGTTTAAGGCAGAGTGTAGACCAACTCCTTGAGTAGCACGAATACAGTGCCAGCGATGAAGTGAATTCGCTGAGGCAGGCAGTTAAGGGAATGATACCACGGAGCAAGAGGGGATTCTAAATAGACACGAGGAGAGAGGATTATTGATTAAACTTCGGCCTTGGATCAACACCCCTGGCACAGTAAGTGGGATGAGGAAACCAGCGGGTAGTGTGGAAAGATTTCAAAAAGGTCTAGATAGACAAGTAAGAAATAGTGATATTGAAGGTTTGATACGAGGATATAAGCTAGGTGAATAGCCCAGGGCAGAAAGAGAGATACACACAATTGGTCAAAGGTTCGACCTCACTTGTCTCTGACGATTTGTAGTGTGCTGCTAAGAGTCACAAGGCTTACTAACAATGCCGGCGAAACGTCTGAGAAGGTACCATGTCCACGGTCCAACTCTGGAAATTATCGTGCATACTATGATCTCCGGACAAGGTGCATTTCTCCAGGTCTTCCTGCCAATATGACCAAGTTGCAAAAACAGGGTCAAGCAAATTATAATAAAGTATTACATAAGCATTCATTCACCTTGAAATGATTTTCATTCCTTCATATTTCAGTATCACAGAAAAGCATATCTTTACTTGATACAATTTGGGATACTGCTATTAAATCCCTCCTGAGTAGCTTTCGGTATTATCAACTGATCTTGAACGAAAACTCTGTTAAATCTAATTCACAAATCTTAAAGAATGACTTATATATAAATTTTTGACGATTATATCAGTAAGTCTCATGATACAAGCCAATTGCATTTTTTTCGGCCTCTAAACCGATAGTTTCAATCTACAATCAACTCTGATGAGAATATATTTTGAGAAGCAAACCTGGGCGGCATACATTGAAATTATAAAGCCTATCCATATCGTTGCTAGAATATTTTACTTTTAGTCCTCCTAAATCAATTTCCACTAAACCTTGATTTTGGTATTATCATGCCATGTATTAAAGGAACTCATTTAATTGTCAAAAATTATTTGTTCAAGCGAATTATGAATACTGAAAGTATATTTTTGAAACAATAAAGGATAAGCCTCACTAACTTTATCAGTTACGAGTTCTTAAAGCTCAAAAGCTATTAAGAGTTTATCTTTAGCATCTATATTAACCAAATTCATACAAGCAACTTGTTAGGTAATAGTTTATTTTTATATATACTTACTAGTATATCTTTTAACTTATTTTTGTTGCAAAATCAAAATTACTCCTTAAAAATGTATATTCATTAGTTGTTTTGTAACATAGCTCACCTCAATCCTCTCCATGGTGGTAAAGTAAATCGGTATAAAAGCCAGCCAAATGATGCATGTCGTATACATTGTGAAACCGATGAACTTAGATTCATTAAAGTTCTCTGGAATGTGGCGTGTTTTTATAGCATACGCCGTGCAGACTATGATAAGCAGGATGTTGTAGGCAAGAGAAATGAGAAAGTTCGTGTTTTTTGTCTCACAGCGCAATTCTAATTGTCCTGGATTTGTCATAAAGTATCTGGTAGAGGGAGGGTCAAAACCTATCCAGATGGCTGAAAGGGCCAACTGAATACCAATCAGAACCGCTGTAATGATTATCTGAGATCTTGGTGATACATAAGCTGGTCGTTTTGTTGTCCGGCTTGCAGCCTCAAAAATGCGATATATACGATTTGTCTTGGTCACTAATGGTGCGTACATAACGGCAAATCCAAGACCAATACAAATACGTTGCAGAGCACAGGTGAATTTGTTTGGTGTGATCATCATAAAAAAGGAGACAGCATAGCAAAGTAGACAACCAGCTAATAAGAGATGCGTTAATTCGCGTCCAGTTGCACGAATAATAGGAGTATTTGAATATAGAACAAATATGATTATTATGCTGGCAGTGATAAGGATTCCAAGACTGCTGAAAGCCATTGGGACAATGGCGAACCAACTGGTCAACTTCATATAATTGGGCTAACGTTTGAAAAAATATAGAAAGTAAGACAAAATTTAAAGAAAAGCATAAATGGAGTATTTAAATATGTGACTTGGGTCTAATTCCTTTATCTTTACACAAAATAATTTATATATAAGGGTTATATATGCATTCTGGATAAGAAAATTAAGTATCAAAGTAGTATATACCAATTTATTTTTCATAACTTTTTAAAGCAATATTTGAATCTGAAAAAAAACTTATATTCTATGCTTACGCTATCACATGCAATTCTCTTTGCCCTTTACAGGAAAAGATATAAGCAGTCCTAGAGTTTTTCATCGAAACTTTTAGCTGATAAATTTGTATTGTTAATAAACTGACACTTTTTTGCTAAAGTAATTATTTTTGGCCTCATAGTAAGAGAAAAACTGGTATAAATCTGGTACTTTGATCATGCTTGCTTAATCATAGGCAATTCTTCAGTATCTAACATTAACAGCTATATACAGCCAATACGCGTAATATAATTCACTAATGCTTCACAGCACTGATAAATTATGTTTAACTATATACAATTTCAATTCGTTTGTATGAATAGAATATTAACAATTTTTATTTTAATAGGGTGATAAATTCGTTTTTGTTCATTCTGCAGATGTGAAATATCTTAGAATCCATGAGACCGTATTTGGGAAAGTTTTTGTTTTTGAAGAAGATATATAGAATTAGCTCGTTAAGTCAAGTAAAGGAGAAGAACTCGATGGTTTAAAAACATTTACAATATTAACTCTTTTATATATTTTTTTGATTGGGTGACTTGTAAGTTTGCGTGTTGTGCTCATCAGAACGTGTTTCTTTCCTCTTCACTGGACCGGAATTTTTCAGGCATTCAGATTTCTCAATTTCTGCGGTTGTTAAAATACTTATTCAGGCTAAAAGTTCCATGATATATATTACAATTAAGCTTCCACTAAATGCAAGGCAGCATTTCGGCATTTTGATTTAAAATAGGAATTTTAAGATAAAAACGAGCATTTTTTTGCCTAACATTTCTTAATATAGGTATTTTGTCGTGATCAATTGCCGTATTTAAAAATTTATACATTTTACTTGGACACAAAAAATTAATTGCATTAAGCCGATCTATCAAATCGCTTTATCTTAAAAGATATTAAAGCAAAGGTGTTCAGTCTTTGCCCATCTTTGTTTATTTTTACTAGGCGACTTAATTAGCGTTCGGTACAATAAATATGTGAATAGAGTTATTGATATAACTATATAAATACCCAACAATGTAAAACAAAGTATCTAGAGTATGTTATCACAACCTTTGATACAACTTCATTCAGCTACAGTTGAAATGGTCTGGTCTGGTATCTGCCATATTAAAAGCATTATTATGTATGAACACATTATTTTATATCAATTTGTTTCGAAAAATGTATACACCCATTTTCTAATGATAGGCATAACTAAAGAGTATTTATCTGGCAACATATTTTGGTTTCTTACTTTCTTAATATTTCACCTATCTTTTTAAAAATAAGTCAAGAACGTAAGGTTAAAAATGGCTAGAGGGGCCCGATTCAACATAGAACTAAATATTTACAAACACTAATCGTATTTCTTATTAGTTTAATATTCCTTACAACAAAGCTCATAAGCTACTCATCATACAGTAATACAGTAATAGCCTTATATAACTCCTTATCTTAATGATTGCATAACGTGTGATATAACCTGTGAGATAAACTGTTGGCACTAATAAAGGTTGCCCAATCTATAAGCTTTAAAGTTCCTTATGCAGAAGCTTAAGACTATTATCCAAATTTTTTGTTTATTTAGTTGATAATTTATACGATTTTTTAAGAGTAAAAATCAAATATATTATTTTTGAGAGCTACTAGAATACCTTTCATTTCGTTTGAAAGGGTGGATGGAAAGGATATGTGAAATCGCCTGTACGGATGCTAAATAAGGCTTGCCTTGGGCCTTTTCATGTTGAAATTTGCGAAGAAGACCACGGCTAACCTTTCTACGACCCCAATGACTCAATGCTTAGCTTTTTTCCGTTATGTGACGGACATCT